ACAGCCACGATCTGCCTCTTCAAGTGAAGCATTTCTGCATCAACCCTTAAAGAAATCTCTGCCGTTAAAAGAGTGAAGTGCTGAGCAGGCAGGCGGGCTGGAGCCCACAGGCAGGGGCAGGAGCACGGGACCAAGTCCGACTTACTTGACAGAATCGTCAAGGGGGGGGTGGAGCTTCACAGAAGCGGGGTGTTTACAAATGATGGAAAACGTAAATGTTTTAACAACCTGTTAAAATACACCAAAATGCAGAATAGCATCTATTTTATTAAAAAAGAAGATGCGCCACCCCCCCCCCCCCCCCGGCCAGCCCGCCCTCTATCTGCGTTCCAGCATCGATCGGTTTATAAATTAAGCCCTGGAGGATGGCAAAAGAAAACATAATTGCCAGACTCCCTCCCATGTTTGACCCATTCCAGTTTGCTTACTGGCATAACCACTCCACAGAAGACAGTGGCAAAGCGCCATCTTTAAAACCATCATTCTACAGCATGTGGTAGACACATGGGACCACTGGGCTTCAGCACCCCCCTCTGAAACCGGCTGCTAAACTTCCTCACTGAAAGACAAGTCAATGCGGATTGCACAGAACACCTCCAATGTCATCACGCTCTGGCTCTCCTCAAGGTTGTGTCCAGAGCCCCCTACAGTTCACCTCAACATTTGACTGCATGCGCAAAGTTGCCACCAACCACAAAGTAAAGCATTCATTACAGTAAAGCATTTAAAAAACATTTATAACAATGTTGTTCATACACTGAAGCAGGCTCACGCTTGGCAAGATCAAGTGATGTACATGTTTTTATTCATTCAGGTAAATCTTATAAGTTGCTCCACTTATTTTATTTTTTACTTAAACTATATGCCAAAATACATGTTCTATCTACAAATGCTCATAGTGCTTACTTGTATTTTTCTTTATACTAGAGTGTACATATCAAGCATGTCAGTAAATTACCTTCATGTAAGCATTATGGGCATTTGTAAATATAATGCAGGGACTGAACAGGCTGTAAACACAAACTATTAAAAAATGCCTAGTTTATCAGATTACTGCATTATTAACTATTTCTTTATAAATTATGAGGGTACCCTTTATATAAGGTGGTACCAATGTGTTTCCATGTTTATTTGTGAAGATGGTGATACTTTAAACAGCTAATAAAAGTTTTGAAATAAGATCTTCTCGTGTTTTTCTTCTGGCTTCAGCTAAAAATAAGTTTGCAATTGAAAATGTCTTCTCCTCAGTTCAGACATCCCAGAGCTTTTTTAAGAACATCCTGTCCACAGCTCAAAGAATGGCTGCATCCGGTCTGTCTGCTCGACCAGAACTTCATGTCCACGGAGAACATCCTGAAGAACTAACAAAGAGAAACTGTGGGTGGAACTAGGATTGTGACTTAAATCTAAGATTATACATCAGGACACAGATAATCTGAACTTTACTGAGGACCCGTTCTCCCAAGCAGGTTTATCAGTTCAGTGAGGCTGATCCAGGTCCAGGTCTGAGTTTAGTGCTTCTCGTCTTACCTGAGACGGTTGTCATGGCAACTAATGAGGATGGAAAAGGCTAACCCTAATCAATTTTCTGACAGAATGAAAAATCTGGACTTCAGACCAAACTTGAGAACATCTTCCATTATTTCTCTTCTGGTTCTGTTTGCAAAATATTTCATGAAGGCAGATTTTAATAAAGCTCTCAGAAAATATTAATTGAATGTAGATCTTCTGATGAACCTTTGGAGTCGATCAAAATTCAAATGGCCACCACAGCTAATCGATCGTATGACATAAAAGGAGTATAACCTCATAGTTATAAATATTGAGCTAAATTCTGATGAGGTAGTTGCTTCTTGACAGATTTCACAAGCTCCCACGAGAAGATGCACATGGTTTACGAGGTTTGACCCAAGTGGCTCTAACTCATGAGATGACCTCACTTCCAAAGTCTGGTGTGGAATATGGCTGGTGATGTGTATTCCTTCCATAAATGTTGAACTCACACTGTAAAGTAGAGATAAACACGGAAATCAGCTTGTGACACACATGGTGACCTGCGGGTGCTTCACTTCTCAGTTAACTGTTTGTAATCTATCAGTTTTGTACCAGTGTTCCCAGTTTCATGGCAGTGAACACCCAGAGGAGGTAGGTTTGTCCAGTCAGTAAGCAGCTGTGTAGAACCTCAAGTTTGATCTTCAACCAGATCACCTAACGTGACCCAGGATGTGCTGAACCAGCTTCGTAGTACAGCACTCTGCTTTTATAATGAGACACTTGAAGCAAAGAGACATTTATTAACAAAAACTATTAAAAATGTAAACGTTGCCATAAACAACACTCTGGTAAACACAACGCGTCGACGACAGGTGTGTGTTAACGCAACGTCAAAGAGAAGAGACGGTTACTGCCCAGCCATCTGGGAAAGACTGAAGGTCACTTGCAACATATTTGGAGTCCATCATTCACAACTGGAAACCAGTCAGGACAGATGTTTCACCTTGAGTTTGGACTGTGGACTTCTGAGACAAACATCCTTTGACCAAAGTAGATACCGTATTTTCCTGAGTATAAGTTGCATTTATTATCCGTCACTGCCAAAACAGCTTCACTTCGCCAGGGCGGCATGACACCATCCATCCATCCATCCAGCCATCCATCCATCCAGCCAGCCAGCCATCAATCCATCCATCCATCCATCCAGCCATCAATCCATCCATCCATCCAGCCATCCATCCATCCATCCATCCATCCATCGTGGCCGGAGTTGCGAGCTCTCCGGTGTTCCTCCGCCTGCACCAGCTGAGTGAAGTCACCGTGCATGGTCGGACTTGCTGTTGCAGTTCTTACAAATTTAAAGTGTCAGTCAAAAATTGCGTTATAAATATGGAAAAAAAAACGTGCGTAAGTTGCTTCAGCGTAGAAGTCGCAGGACTGACGGGACGTTTACCTACAATTTTGGAGAAGACTGTGAGAGTTCAAAGGGAAAACTTCTCCTGAAATGATGGAGAGGACGTTCAAACAGGCTGGACCTGTGATCCACATTACACCCCCCAACCCCCCCTCCCAGGTTTCAGCAGAACCAGCCATTTTTTTAAATTTACCCTTTATTTATCCAGGTAGTCTCTTTGAGTCATGAGAACTCATTTTCAAGAGAGACCTGTTTAGGAGCAGATGGTGGGGTTAGGGTTAGAGAGGAAGGAGATTGTGGAGATTGTTATTCTCTCTCTTGACCATCATGAAGTTACAGAAATCATTAGAGCACATGAGGACAGGGACTTTAGGTTTATGTTGCAAATTATTACTCCGTTAGAGCACTTGTATTATTAGTAGACACTGACTTTTTGAATTAGTTTTATTTTGAGGACAAAATATATAACTTGTAAACTTTTCTGCACCCATTTTGATGATCATTATTTTATTAATCAAGTCTTCCTGTCAGGAGTTTCATGTGAGTTAGACCAGTGGGACGTCACCTGTGGACCATAAATGTTGCTTTTGACTGTGTGTGTAAAACAAAGTTCTTCTTGCTGTGCACTTCCTGTTTGGAAATGATTAGCACAGCTCGTCATATACCATAAAGCCAGGCTTTTACCAGACAGAAGCATTTTGACTGAGAACAAATGTTTCTGTCAGTGCAGTCCTGTGTGTTAGACTTTAGACCAGTAGTCACTGATCAGGACAGTTGCTGGTAAAACAAACAAATACCTGGTACTTCTAATTAATACCAAAAAGAACACCTTATCTCTAAGGGCGATGCCAACAAGCACCTTTAAATTTATTTAAAAATAAAATATTTTTCAATGAAAGCTTTGGTCTTTAATCATTTGTGCCTGTTAGAGCAGAGCTCTTACTCCGACTACAACAAGAAGTGGAGAAAGGCACAGACTAACTGGACACAACAACCTCGAATATCTGCACTGGTGCGATCAGTATGAAGCCGGTCCCAGACCAGAGTCTGGTTCAGGCAGCAGGGTGACCCAGAAGGAACAAGCCATCACATGAGAGGCAAGTTACCCAAGAGATGGGAAGGTGTGCACCAGGACAGTAGCACAAAGCAGGATCATCACTGCAAAGTGTGTGGTGTCATGACTGTGTTCAAGTCACTCCACCCATTGTGGTCCTTAATCTCCCTAACTGGGCTTCAAGTTCTTAATCTTATCCCAGTACTGCTGATAAGTCCAGGCACAGCCATGCTGCACCATCATCTCTGATATCTCTCGGTAAATGTGCTCATTTCTGGTGGTGCCATGCAACTCAGGATGAATCCTAATAATAAAATAACCTCATCACTGGTCAACAACACAATATTTGGAGCTTCCATAGCAGAAACTAGCAAAACAACACACACACACACACACACACACACACTCAAGACGATCAGAGAGGAAGTGGAGGTTCAGATGTAGTTTGCAGTTCTGCTGGGTGGGTCATCCAAAGATGTAGCTCTGCTGGCCAATCGACGGCTGCTGCTTGTGTCAGACTCATCACCTCAGAGCCGTTTCATTAGAACCTCAAACAAGACGGTCCCATAAACTGGGCTGAGTGGGGTGGGTACCAGCAGTGGGCAGGCCCTTAACTGGTGTGGTGTGGTGTGGAACTGCTGAGTGTAGAAACAGTGTCAAAGTGCCATAAGAAGACCTAACAAAGCCATTCAATCAGTTGTAGCAACATGCACGTTTAACTTGTTTGTTTGTTGGTTTTTGTGAAATAAGGAAAAACAAAATAACCTTTTAGCCTTTCGAGGCAACAGAAATGTAAGAAGACGAGTAAGGTCTACTGCCACATCATAATCAAGTACCAGCAGAATGCTTTGTAACACATGGAGCCTCACGGAGGAGAAACCCCACCAGGGAAGCAGAATCTGAGTGTCTCCTCAGTGAGACGCTGAACCACTGTACTGAGCACAGCCCACACACGTCCTGAGGTACCTCAGTAGTACATGTGAAGCAGAGACAGCTGAGCACAACGTGAAGGACACAGAGAGTATCAAAGCAGCTTACATATCTGGCTCCTCTGCGCAGTCCCTCGGAGTTCCTCAGCCAGCACCGGCTCAGCTCGCTCAGCTCCAGAATTGGCTGCACCTTCAGCCTCACCGCATCTCCTGACTGACGGATCATCTCAACTATCTCATCCCGGTTCTTGTTTTCTACATTCCGTCCATTTATCTCCACCAGCCTGTCGCCGGGCACCAGCCCCAGAGCCAGGTCTTTGGTACCGGCACCAGGTTCAGCAAAATGGACTACCCGTCTGTACACCCCTCCGTCAGGATTTCGATCCAGCATAGTAGTGCGACGCAAAGAGAATCCAAAGTCCCCAGTGTTGCGCCGCTGGAGCTCCAGCTCTCTGGTTTCTGGAGTGCTCGGTGCGACCACAGCTGGCAGCTGCAGCTGTGCAGGGAAGACCTTGTCAACCAGCTGAGGGATGCACACTTTTCTGGTCTCTGCGGTTCCTGGCTGAAGCTTTTGGCTATGCTTCCGAAGCATGCTAAAAACTTTGCTCTCCACCTGTGGTGACGGGGCAGCAGAGTTCTGTCCAGAAGGAGTGGAGCCCTCTGATGGGCTCTCCTCTTTGCTCCTCTGGGAGAAGGAGAAACGTTTCATCATCTGGCCTACCTGCGAGGAGTTCTGCTTAGCAAGAGAACCAAAGTGAGCCACGCGGTCCCTCACCGAGCTACGGTGTCCTTCCTGTCCTCCTCCACCCTCACCCTTCAAGTCATCAGTGGAGCTGGTAGTACTCAGCTGGTCATCCAGAACCACGCTGCTTCGGTTGCACAAACCATCTGACTCCAGGTCAGTGAGAGAAAGCTCGGTGCTGTTGGCCACTTTGATAGGGATTGGACTGGAGATGTCCGCTTTGTTCCGCTTGCCCTCCCTCTTCAGGTTGAAGAAACCTCGCCGCATGCTCATCTCCTCCAAGCTGCGCAGCTCAGCGGCAGACATCCTCTCCTTCTTCTTCTCCTTCTTGCTCGCCTCCTTCTCCTTGTCCTTTTTAATCAGGTTAAACATGGTGGCTATCAGAATAAGGTTTTGTTCTTCGTACACAAGCCGAGTCAAGAGTTAGGTGTGTTGATGTGATCAAACAGAACTTGTCACCTGGGGAAGGGACAAGGAGAACAATTCAGAATTAACTTCATAAACATTAAACAACCAGCAGACAATTACTGATAATAAAACATAAAAGCCAAAATAATTAATTTCAAATCCCATTTCCAGCTTCTACCATTTATCCATAGTCAGGTTGCAGAGGCAACAGGTCCAGGAGAAAAATCCAGACCTCCCTCTCCCCAGTGAGGCTCCAAGGCATTCCCAGGCAAGAGAAGATGCACAATTGCTCCAGTGACCTCTGGGTCTTCCCCAGGTCTCCTACCAGTAGGATGTGCCTGGAAAGCCTCTAATGGGAGACATCCTAATCAGATGCCTGAACCACCTCAACTGACTCCTTTTGATGCGGAAGAGCAACAGCTCTACTCCAAGCTTGCTCCAAATGATGGAGTTCCTTACCCCATCTCTAAGGCTGAGCCTAGCCACCCTATGAAGGAAGCTTAATTCGGCCACTTATATTTGGAATCTTGTTCTTTCGGTGGAGATCTGGTTCTGTGATACCAGACCAGGACATGAGCTACACTGCCTACCCTGAATTCAAGGTTTGACAATCGGTCTGAGCCTCCCTTCCAACACCCTAGAGTAACTTTCCAGAGGAGGACAAAAAGTGTGATCCTTTGATAGTTGGAACACACAACCTGGTCTCCCTCCACCACCCTGGTCTGCCAGTCCACAGCCACTGTCCCAGTCCTCCATGCAACATTGAAGAAACATGTCAACCATGACAGCCCCACAACATCCAGAGCCTTCAGCAGCTAGGGGTGAATCTCATCCACCCCCGGTGCCCTGCCACACAGGAGCTTTTTGACTACCTCTGTGACCTCAACTATAGTAACGAACTCGTCCTTCCCTGAGTCCTCAAACTCGGCCTCCTCAAAGATGGACATGGTGGGTGGAATAAGGAGATCCTCAAAATGCTCCTTCCACCGCTCAACAATATCCTCAGTCCTGATCAGCAGTTCTCCACCCAAACCAAGCATAGCTTGGGAATGGATCCGCTTTCCTTTTCTGAGTTGTTGAACAGTTTGCCAGAACTTTCTGGAAGCTGACCGAAAGCCCTTCTCCATGGCCTACACAAATTCTTTGAGAGGTGCCCCAGTTTCAATTTTATGGACGAGGTTTCCTGATGTAGTGTCTCCCCTACCATTATCCAGGGAGGGAGTCCCCCCCCATGTTGCTCTGTAAATCAGATGATGTCACTGTGGGAGGGTCAAATTCTGTGGTTATGAAAATGATCATTGTTGTGGCACATTAACTCTAAATATAACTTTACAAGAACGTTCTAATGAAGAGAGAAGTTAACGAGTAGGACTGAAACGACTCCTTGAATAAAGTCGAGTACCTCTATTTCAAAAATAATAATTTACAGCAGCCCTAAATGAGAGTAAAGAAAGTAAAAACCTGTAATTCTGCATTATTTGTCCAGAACTGTTGTTGTGGACCATAAAGAACGTGGAGGATCCAGTGATGTGGAGCTCAGTGAACACCTGTAAGAACAGAGGTGCAGGTAGACTGCAGTCTGTCCACAGATTACTGATCAGATTATTTCATGCCTTGGACACAATCTGCAGACTGTCCACCTGAGTAGGAGTAAAAACACTGAAACTAACATTGGATCCAAACCCCTCTCTAAAAGTGCAGGACTGGGTTCACAGAAAAATGACTTACTTTATTTTTATTTTATTATAATATTTGAAGGAGCTCCATTTTATTTTCTTGTGCACTGTTAATGTGACGGAGAGTTGCTGCTCAACTTCCTCCAAGTTAATTATGATCAACTGCGCTTCGAACCAGCATTAGTTTAAAGTGATGTTCTTAATTACTAAAATTAATGAATTGGGTTTGACTCTGTGTGAGCAGAACTTGGTACTAGTTCTGGTGCTGTGGAAACTTGCAAAGCTCTGCTTCTTACATCATGCTAAGGAGACAGGATTTGAGTGGTTTGAATGTTTTCTGTGGTTCATTAGGAACCTGAAGCAACAGCAGCAGACAGGTAGATCCAGGATACC